CTATGTAGCAGTTTTTGTTTGCCTCGTAACCAAGTCGTGTCACATCGAATTAGTATCAGACCTCTCGGCGGAAGCATTCCTTGCCACACTTCGTCGCATTGTTTCTCGAAGAGGAAAACCCACGCAGATTTGGAGCGATAACGCGACTTGTTTTCGGCGTACGGATAAAGATTTAAGGGAACTTTATCGACTACTTCAAAGACCAGATATGAAAGAATCTGTTATGAACTTTTGTTCGTCCCAAGGCATCCAGTGGATGTTTAGCCCACCCACCGGTCCTCATCATGGTTCTGTTTGGGAGAACGGGGTAAAGTCCTGTAAACGGCACTTGAAGCGAATAGTTGGGGAAACCAAACTAAACTTCGAAGAAATAACAACCACCCTCTGCCAAATCGAAGCCTGTCTCAACTCTCGTCCACTGATACCTTCGCTTGATACAAATGATGATGATGGAATATCTCCACTTACTCCTGGGCATTTTCTAATTGGACGTCCTTTAGAAGCTCTACCTAGCCGCATTTATAAAGAGCCCATTCTTGGTTTAAAAAGATGGAAACTCTGTCAAGCATTGACACAACATTTCTGGAAACGATGGTCTGCTGAATATCTCAATTGCTTACAACGATTTAACAAGTGGAAAGTTCCAAAACGAAATCTTCAACTAGATGATATTGTCCTCGTTAAAGACAATCGTACACCAACTTGTCAATGGCCTCTTGCTCGAGTCACAAAGGTTCATCCTGGTCCAGATAAACTTGTTCGAGGCGTTACTGTACAAACGAAGACTGGCACCTTCATCCGACCGATTGTGAAGTTATGTTTACTTCTACCAGCGAAGGAAGTGCCGAAGAAAGATGATGAAATGAAGTGAAGTAATGAACAATGAACGAACATAAGTTTGAACAGATAAGTTTAGATATATGTTTATATTATTTCATGCGTTATATGTATTACATAAAGTATTTAGCATTATTTAGCAAGCGCATGCGCAGTAAGCATGCTCTTAAGAACACATGTTTTTTAGGAAAAGAAAATAAGTTTTACCTCGGTTACTCGCTGTTTTTCTTGGGTAAAACAAAGGACTGCTAGCTAGGCAGTTAAAAGCAAGTAAACAATCGCATCTACTTGCTTTGCGAGGTTGCGCGGAGTACTGCTATAAGCCCCGTTTTAAATTAAACGAGATTAATGAGGATTAATGAAAGTACAACTGTCTGTACAAGTCACCAATTGTTACAGGGGATACTGATTTCAAGCTCTAGATAACAAAATAAAGGTTTGATGAGTGTTCCAACTATTTTCCAATCACTTAAATCAAATATATGATATATAGATGCACTTTCATCCTCTTCAGATCTAAGCTTTATAAAACTGAATAATCTTTGTTTCATCATCTTGTAAAAAATAATATATGCATGCGTTCAAGCGGCACGGCCAATTGTCTCCATCTTTCGCTTACGTGTAAACAGAATCAGAAGACGAAAACAGAATCAGTGCATTTAATTCTTTAATTCGTAAGTATCGATTAGTAGTTAATTTCTAATGTGACAATATATATAAGCCAATAACCCTTTGCTGTCCGCTAGTATCGTTCTTTGATGAATACTGAGATTACCCATTGGCAAATTAGTAGAGAAATGCCATCATATGCGTCACACATCTCCGAAATCTTCATTTTATCATGCCTTTTGGGTACGCAAAGTAAGAAAAATACCCAGCAAAGTCAAACGTGGGCTATACACGCATATTCCACGAAATAAACAGCGACCCTAAATGCGCTACAGGTCAATCTCAGCAAATAATTATCTGCTTCTTGTAACATATCCTTCAAGAAAAAGCTAGCTATATTGTATTGTGAATTTGATATTATGGCATGAGCATGCACCGCGTCGTTTCTTCAGATCAAACGAGGATAAGAGCTCATAGCAGTTATATCGGTTGTTTAATATGGCGGTTATTTCAATCTCAGATAAACAAAATAAATGCGCATGCAGTGATGACAAAGAGGGCTACCGAAGAACATGATGGTGTAGAATGCTTGACCGACGCGTAGTCGTGATCGCATACTCATCCTCTTTTATATATAGCTAATTCAAAAATGGTTGTCTTTCGAAAGTCTAAACCTTAAACTTTAAACTCTAAGTGCGAAAAGAGCAATGGGAACACATGGTGTTTTATATTATGCGAGTGCATATAGAGCCAAGATTTATGATGCAGAGCGTTCCCCGCATTGTGCTTTTTGCGCTTAGAGTTTAAGGTTCAAGATTAGAGTTTTGATGATCTGCTCATATTTTGTGATTCTGTGCTGTTAAAATATCAGACCTCGTCTATATAAAACCATACTGATTTTTTCAGCTAAACTGCATTAATCGGGTTAAGGCAAATGATTAGTCTTTTATTATAAATGATTTTGGAGAAGATTTACACTTGAATGCTTCCATAGCCTTATCGAAGGGAAGATGGCTGTGAAACTCATTAGAATAACAATATAACTCATTATCTATGTTGGTCAACGTTTATTCATCAATCTGGTCCTTCACCGTCACGTGTGTATTGTATTTTTGCCCAACCAACCAATAGCAACGATTTAGGAAAGTCACCTATCTGTGACTCGAACAATAGGGAAACTGGAAATTGCTATTGGTGGATTTGGTAGAAATACAATACACACGTGACGGTGAAAGGACCAGATTATGAATAAAAGTTGACCAACATAGATAATGAGTTAAATTGTTATTCTAATGAGTTTCACAGCCATCTTCCCTTCGATAGGCTATGATGCTTCTAAGCACAGATTAATGCATGCAAAGTTTCGACAATTGCAAATAGCTGTTTTGTAATCAGCTCTAATCTGTGAGGCAAGTCATTAATCATGTGTGGCATGTCATTGTTGCATGAGATTGGGTTGCCGGTTAATGCTATTGTCACTAATTGAAACGTATTTTTAACGGGAAAAATTTTTTGAACTTCTAATACAGACAGATCGATCCAGAACAATACATATTACGTTATTTAAGTGGCAGCGTTCGGTTTCATTGCTATTATTTATGTCCATTTACCGGAAAGAGGTAATTTCAAACATTCTATTTTTATAGATAGAACTTTAAGTTTAATATGGTGTTAAACTTTAAAGATAGCAGTTGTTATTAACAACTGCATGCGTATGTGTGACTCTGTGTTGCCGTTAAATATCAGACCTCGTCAATAGACTATATAAAGCAATACTGATATTTTCGGGTAAGTTGTATTGGCTGGTTAATTAAAGCATATAGTGGTCTTTTATTATAAGTGATTTTGGCGAAGATTCACATTTGCTTTCAAGCACAGATTACTATACCTACTAGTATACTTATCAGTAGTATAAATGCTGACTTGCTCCTTAAGCTAATTTTACGATATATGGCAGCGTTCATCAACATTGCTCCGAAGGTTAAAGCTCTGTCCTAATCGTTCGAAACTATTTTAAATTTATACGAAAGTAAATACAAGACAAGATTTCCATACAATCAATTATTTCAAACAGTTTGTTTGGGCGTCGTCCTGACGTCGCCGTCTTACATTCGTAAACTCCCTACTCTCTATTATCAAGACGAGGACGTTTTGTATAACGATTTCCAACAAACCGCCTTTTTTGCGCTTTAATTAGAACCCAGTCCTACATTGTTGGCAAAGTTATTGGCAAAAACAAAGGGTAAACAAATTGGTTTCTATGGCAACAAACCACAAAATTTAAAAAAGCCCCAAATTATAACCTTTATTTTAAGGAATACAATCAGAGACAAAATAGCATAGGAGCAAAGTTTGATAGTTTATATCTCATGCGAAGCCAAAATTTGTTGGGGGTCATATTCCACCTTATTAATAAAAGCAGTTAATTTCAATGAATATTTAAAAACATTTAACGAAGCGTTTCGTGTTGAATTTTACATTATAATAAAGCTCATAGAATGCAAAATAACACACCTACTTTATATATTGGTCGTTCTTTACTTTTATTTATTAAACCACGAGTTTAATATTAGCCTGCATGAATCCATACACGCAAAGGAAGAGAGTTTGGGAAGAGCACATTGTGGTGTATATAGGGCTTAGCTTGAATAAAAAACTTGGAGGCGTGATGTCTCAGCTCCAAGCAGTGCGAAGTACAACCTCGCAAGCCAAGGTCTCTTACCTGCGCTCGGGCTACGCCGTGCGGAAGTAAAAGCTCCTGGCTTGCGAGGTTGTGCGAAGTACTGCTATAAACCCCGTTTAAACGAGATTAATGAGGGTTGATGAAAGTACAAGTCACCAATTGTTACAGGGGATACTGATTTCAAGCTCTAGATAACAAAATAAAGGTTTCATGAGTGTTCCAATTATTTTCCAATCACTTAAATCAAATATATGGTATATAGTGCATGCGAACTCCCATGCATGCACTTTCATCCTCTTCAGATCTAAGCTTTATACAACTGAATAATCTTTGTTTCATCAACTTGTAAAAAATAATATATGCATGCGTTCAAGCGGCACGGCCAATTGTCTCCATCTTTCGCTTACGTGTAAACAGAATCAGAAGACGAAAACAGAATCAGTACATTTAATTCTTTAATTCGTAAGTATCGATTAGTAATTAATTTCTAATGTGACAATATATAAGCCACTGATAACCCTTTGCTGTCCGCTAGTATCGTTCTTTGATAAATGCTGAGTCTTCCGACGTTGGACATTACCCATTGGCAAATTAGTAGAAAAATGCCATGATATGCGTCACACATCTCCAAAATCTTCATTTCAGTATCATGCCTTTTGGGTACGCAAAGTAAGAAAAAACCTCAGCAAAGTCAAACGTGGGTTATACACGCATATTCCACGAAATGAACAGCGACCTAAAATGCGCTACAGGTCAGTCTCAGCAAATAATTATCTGCTTCTTGTAACATATCCTTCAAGAAAAAGCTAGCTATATTGTATTGTGAATTTGATATTATGGCATGAGCATGCACCGTCGTTTCTTCAGATCAAACGAGGATAAGAGCTCATAGCAGTTATATCGGTTGTTATGGCGGTTATTTCAACCTCAGTTAAACAAAATAAATGCGCAGTGATGACAAAGAGGGCTACCGAAGAACATGATGGTGTAGAATGCTTGACCGACGCGTAGCCGTGACCGCATACTCATCCTCTTTTATATATAGCCTATATAGCTAATTCAAAAATGGTTGTCTTTCGAAAGTCTAAACCTTAAACCTTAAACTCTAAGTGCGAAAAGAGCAATGGGAACACGCGGTGTTTCATATTATGCGAGTCAGCGAGTGCATATGTAGAGCCAAGATTTATGATGCAGAGCGTTCCCCGCATTGTGTTTTTTGCGCTTAGAGTTTAAGGTTCAAGATTTAAAGTTTTGATGATCTGCTCATATTTTGTGATTCTGTGCTGTTAAATATCAGACCTCGCCTATATAAAACCATACTGATTTTTTCAGCTAAACTGCATTGATCGGGTTAAGGCATGCAAATGATTGAGTCTTTTATTATAGATGATTTTCGAGAAGATTTACACTTGAATGCTTCCATAGCCTATCGAAGGGAAGATGGCTGTGAAACTCATTAGAATAACAATATAACTCATTATCTATGTTGATCAACGTTTATTTATAAATCTGGTCCTTCACCGTCATGTGTGTATTGTATTTTTGCCCAACTAACCAATAGCAACGATTAGGAAAGTCACCTATCCGTGACTCGAACAATAGGGAAACTGGAAATTGCTATTGGTGGATTTGGTAAAATACAATACACACGTGACGGTGAAAGGACCAGATTATGAATAAACGTTGACCAACATAGATAATGAGTTAAATTGTTATTCTAATGAGTTTCACAGCCATCTTTCCTTCGACAGGCTATGATGCTTCTAAGCACAGATTAATGCGTGCAAAGTTTCGACAATTGCAAATAGCTGTTTTGTAATCAGCTCTAATCTGTGAGGCAAGTCATTAATCATGTGTGGCATGTCATTGTTGCATGAGATTGGGTTGCCGGTTAATGCCATAGTCAGTAATTGAAACTTATTTTTAACGGGAAAATTTTTTTGAACTTCTACTGTATAATACAGACAGATCGATCCAGAACAATACATACGTTATTTAATTAAGTGGCAGCGTTCGGTTTCACTGGTATTATTTATGCCCATTTACCGGAAAGAGGTAATTTCAAACATTCTATATTTATAGATAGAACTTTAAGTTTAATATTCATGGAGTTAAACTTTAAAGATAGCAGTTGTTATTAACAACTGCGTATGTTTTGTGACTCTGTGTTGTTAAATATCAGACCTCGTCTATAGACTATATAAAAGCAATACTGATATTTTCTGGTAAGTTGCATTGGCTAGTTAAAGCACATATTGGTCTTTTATTATAAGTATTTTGGCGAAGATTCACATTTGGTTTCAAGCACAGATTACTATACCTACTAGTATATACTTATCAGTAGTATAAATGCTGACTTGCTCCTTAATTTGACGATATATGGCAGCGTTCATCAACATTGCTCCGAAGATTAAAGCTCTGTTCTACTCGTTCGAAACTATTTTAAATTTATACGAAAGTAAATACAAGACAAGATTTCCATACAATCAATTATTTCAAACAGTTTGTTTGGGCGTCGTTCTGTCGTCGCCGTCTATCATTCGTAAACTCCCTACTGTCTATTATCAAGACGAGGACTTTTGTATAACGATTGCCAACAAACCGCCTTTTTTGCGCTTAAATTAGAACCCAGTCCTATACATTGTTGGCAAAGTTATTGGCAAAAACAAAGGGTAAACAAATTGGTTTCTATGGCAACAAACCACAAAATTTAAAAAAGCCCCAAATTGTAACCTTTATTTTAAGGAATACAATCAGAGACAAAATAGCATAGGAGCAAAGTTTGATAGTTTATATCTCATGCGAGGCCAAAATTTGTTGGGGTCATTCCACCTTATTAATAAAAGCAGTTAATTTCAATGAATATTTAAAAACATTTTACGAAGCGTTTCGTGTTGAATTTTACATTGTAATAAAGCTCATATAATGCAAATTAACACACCTACTTTATATATTGGTCGTTCTTTACTTTTATTTATTTTTTGCTGTTTTGTACAAATGGCTACCATGACGCGAGCACCACGAGTTTAATTTAGCCTGAATCCATGCACGCAAAGGAAGAGAGCTTGGGAAGAGCACATTGTGGTGTCTATAGGGCTTAGCTTGAATAAAAAGCTTGGAGCCGTGATGTCTCAACTCCAAGCAGCTAGTGCGAAGTACAACCTCGCAAGTCAGGGTCTTTTACCTGCGCTCGGGCTACGCCGTGCGGAAGTAAAAGCCCCTGGCTTGCGAGGTTGTGCGAAGTACTGTTATAAGTCCCGTTTAAACGAGATTAATGAGGGTTGAGGAATGTACAACTCACCAATTGCTACCGGGGATACTGATTTCAAGCTCTAGATAACAAAATAAAGGTTTGATGAGTGTTTCAACTGTTTTCCAATCACTTAAAGATGCTGTAAAGTCCGTTCTGTGCATATATTCTGCGCATCAACACATTCCATCAGTGGGGGAGCAACCTTTGGAATGTTGTTAATATTTCGCACCTTCCGAACTTTCTTGAATTGAATATCTAGTCTGCATTCATTTACAAGAATAGGCTACCGGAAGTGTGTTAAAAATTCAGTATAATATATATCTAATCATATTTTTCAACTGTAGCACTGACTTCAAAATGTAAACAAAGCGTTTGTTTACATTACGGACTTTACATCTCCTTTAAATCAAATATATGATATACAGGGTGTATCAAAAAAAGCGCAATCCTCGACTGAAATGTAAATTGCTAAACAAATAATAGACGAAAACGTTAAAGTTTACATTCATTTTAAAGCGTAGCAATTCAGCTTTCTAACAGCGGGTTGTTTCTTAAATTTGACTCATTGGTTCGCGGGTAATAATACTTTACGTTATTGCGATTGGAGATTAAAAAAATTGAGATGGAATAACAAATCGTTCTCATGAAAATAACTGATTTTTTCATTAAAACAAAAAAATATTACATTTTATTATATGGATATGAGTAAAATACCGTAAAATACGCCACTGATATTTTCTGTATTTCACTGTAGTGAAATATGAAATCATATCTTACGCGGGAACGTCTCGCGCGGGACCCACGCTAACTCCCGCCATTTTGCCGTTTCTGTTTTGAATATACAATATGACAACTTCTCGACATTTTGTTGATGTTTTCGACGCTGATTTGGCAAGGTTTTCTGAAGAATATGAAAACACAAAAAGGAAGACTAATTAGTCCTATTTGGCGATCTTCAGCGACTATTTAGCCTCGATTAGCAAGCGGAGAGACATAAACATTGTTGCCATACGGTGAGCTACAAAACAGAAAACAAAACTAATAAAGTCATACGTTTTGTTGTTTTTGCTTCAACTTTTATCCATATAATAAAAAGAACATTTCACGGTGGCTTTGGAAATATGACTTTTATTTTCTCGTGTTGAAAACAATATTTTACTCACTCGCTGCGCTCGTTCGTAAAATATTGTTTTCACCACTCGAAAATAAAAGTCATATTTCCGTGCCACCGTGAAATATCCTCTATTTATTAAATGGATTGTAACAATAAGTATAATTACGGCTTTTCTTCCACTATTTTTAACTCAGTTTGAAACTTCAAATGCGATATAATTTTGGCTTGGACCATATCTAAGGTGACTGACATCAACTTGCTATAATTTCTGTTTACATTACATCGCAATTCGATGACACTCTGGCTCAGACACCAGAATGTTTTGACGATTTTTAGCATTCGTTTAGGATTTTCAAACAACCTGGTCTCTTTTAAAATACTTTTAATTTGTTCTTACGTGGTTTTCCAGATGTAGTGACGACAACATTAAAGTTTAAAGAAAAAAATTCTAACATTTAAACCGACTAAACAATAACATAGTAAACTTGCATAATTAAGGTTACACAACACCTTTGAGTGTTAATTTTGCCTGAAATTTTTTTATTGGTTTGCATGAAAACATTAGACTAGTTCTACTATCTGACCAAGTTTGGACGAAAAATGTTGAAAACTCGCAGAGTTATTTAATAAAATACATTTCGCTTGCAATAAGAAAAACATTGAAAATGTAATATTCAAATTCAATTTTCTCCCGAAGAATTTTACGGCAATTACTGATTTTCAAGCGAGTTGTGCTCCTGCGGGTTTTAACGAATTTTTCTCAAATTTTCACAGGACATAGCTAAAGACGTCAGTTTCAAAATTGTGTTCGGCTTTTTTTTAATTTTGGATATTTTAATAATAAAGAGCAAT